ATGTTTTCTTGATGTGCACTTAACCTTTATATAAAACTCTCTCTTATACAAGAGTTTCTGTGGATTTGTTTCTCTAATGTATCCAGACTATTATAATTTCCAAGGCTTTAATTTTTGTGGAAGCAGCCTGCCACTTCTTTCTCCCATGGAGTGGCTGCTGTGTTCTAGGCACATTGTTTTGGTTCACAGCAGAGCATGTGACCACCTCTCTATCACAGCTTTTTAAATTTTGTAGAGAGTTCACAATTTATTTAACCAATTCCCTGTACACTGCTACAAATTTAGGTTATTTCCATTTTTTGGGTTCTGCTTTTTAAAAAATACAAAACAACAATTCAATAAATATTTTCTGTGCTGTGTGAGTTTCTCAAAACAACAGAGCTGTGTGTTATATTATTACATGGCAAAAGAGATGATGCAGATGTAATTAAGATCACAAATAAATTGACAATAAAATTGGAAGATTGTCCTGGTTATTTAAGATGATCATACCAGTCTTTAAAAAGAGAGATGAAAGAGGAAGAAGAAGAAGTCAAAGAGATTCAAACTACGAGAAGGACTATTGAGCCTCAACTTTGAGGCCAGCGGAGGTCATTGAGAAGGAATGTAGGTGAATTTCTGGTGCTCAGGATGGCCTTATCTGATAGCTAACAAGGAAATGAAGACTTCAATTCTATAATAACAAGGAATTGGATTCTGGAAACCACTTGAACGAACTTGGAATTAGACTGTTTCCAAAAACTATATTAAGAGCCCAACTGACTGATACCTTGATTTCTTCCTTGTTAGAATCTAAGCAGAGAACACAGTCCATGCTGTATTATTATCAAAGAAACAATGGAATAATAAATTGATAATGTTTTAAGCCTTGACAGTTTTGGAAATTCGTTATGACAACAATAAAAACTACCATAGATATGGGTACCTGAAGTGGAGTGCTATTAAAACAAATTCCTAAAAATGTGGTGTGCCTTTGGAATCAGGCAGTGAGTAGAGACTTGAGGAATTTTTAGTAGTGTGTTGAGAAAAGCCTAGTTTGCTTTGAACAGACGATTAATAAAATGATGGATGGTAGAGACTCTTCTAGTGAGGTAAAAAGTACATGATGAGCATTATAATAATAAATTGCCTACGAGAATATCTAAATGTTTAGCTGAAGTATGAATGTTAAAGCCACTGTTGGTGAAGACTCAGAAGGAACTGAAGAACGAGCCAAGAAGAGGAATATTTGGCATCTAATGTCAGAAAGCTTCATAAAATTGCATCCTGCAGTTATGTAAAAAAATCAGAACTTACACACAAGGAACTTGGATATCTAGTTGATAGATTTTTAAGCAAAGCCTCCGAGTGTTCAAAGTGTTGACGTTTCTCCTTTCCTTTTATCCCCCCTAGTAAAATTTGAGAGGAAAGACATAAGTTGAGGAAAAGACCGTTGAAGTTCTTGAGAATAGAAGAATAATAGAGAAATCAAGAAATTCTTGAGAAAGACGGTTGAACTTCTTGAAAAGCCTGCATTGTATTTGAAATGTTCCTATCAGCAGAAAGACCATCAGTCTGAATGGAAAGGAAATGAGAGGTACTGCTGGACTGTCAACGTTCTATGGGTAGAAAGCATACTGACAAAGGCAGGCAGCTGCAAATACACATACATGTTCAGGAAAAAAGCAGTATGATTGAGATAGCCACACCAAGAGTTCCGAGAAAATTGTTCCCTCAGAGGGTAGAGCCAAGAAGCCACAAAGAATTTTTCTCTAGTTCTTGAAACTTAGTGGGTTTTGCCAGGCAGTGATTATGTTTTTACCTTTCATGTTCCCCTCTTTTGAATGGGAATGCCTGTAACTAGCTTATTTAAAGAAACTAGTTTATCTAAACTATGCTTATCTAAAAGTTGTATATTTTGAGAAGATAACTTGTTTCTTTCATTTTTAAGTCTACAAGTGGAGAGGAATTTTGCCAAGGATGACTTATACCTAGAGTTTCTTACCCTGATCATTTGATCATGAGATTTAGGGGGTTATGAATTGAGGAGATTAGACTTGATGCTGTAGGTGATGAGCCTTTGGGAATCTTGGTGGTAGTGGTGTTGTTAGGTGCCTTAGAGTTGGTTACAAGTCAAAGCAACCCTGTGGACAACAGACCCAAAAATTGCTGAGTCTCG